CACCGCATGCGCGTCCAGATGGGTCCAAAGCCAACTACAACGTCCTTGGTCGGTGGCAATGCCTCGACATCAAATTCATCGATATGCTCCATGTCCTCGTAGTCGGTCTTGCTGCGCTGCAGCGTATCAAACAGCACAACTTCGGTGGCGTTGGTAAAGATGCGCGCCACGACCCAGAACACCGGCCACAGCGTGGTGCAGGCAAAGGGAAACAAGACATACGCAGTCTTGGCCAGCACAACCTCGACGCCCATCCACCGGAACGATCGCTGGCTGATATCCACCACGCCATACATGACCAGGTTGGTGGCCAGTGCGACCAGCGCAACTACAGGCAGGATCCGCAGCGCACACAGCCGGATCACGATCCGCATCTGGCTCTGCAGCACTGAGCGACCGGTCCGCCGATGGTGTATCGCGATCTGCTCCAGGTGGTTTGCCGAGCGGTGTCTCCAGGACGCAGAACAGCATGCGCCCGGCCAGCTCCGGAAACCCAATCGTCGCAGGGTCCCATGGCCGCCAACGCTCCTCGGGCCGCGGGCTGCCGATTGTCGCGCTGAGCGGGTGCCGCGGAAGCGGGCATTCGGTCGGCATCCAGAGCCGCATCGTGTCGGGCGTGAACCGCTGGCCACGCACCAGCACAAAGTCCTCCTGCACTGCAGTGCTGCTTGTGCGCAGCGCTACCGAGCACGGCACTACTTCGCCAAATCCGATTGCCACCACGTCACCTTCCACCACCAGCAGCGTCGGCACATCCCGCCATACGCCGTCCCGCAGAACCGTATAGGCTGTCACCGTCGGCAGCTGGGGCGTGCGCAACTCCGCGTATGTGCCTGACCACCCACGGATCTCTGCCCCAATTGCGCGCAGCCGTCGGTCCAGCTCATGTGCCTCCAGCCGCGACTCGCGTGCCAGCACCCACAGCGTGAACAGAATGCTCGCTACAAGCAGCACCGCCTCAACTATCGCCCCGACCCCGCGCGTCTGGTCCGGCCGGCCCCTGCCCAAAATGTAGCTGCCGCTGACCAGCAGAAACACTGCCACCAGCAGCGTCGTCCCCAAAACAACAATCGCCGGGCCAGCGCGTTTATAGAAATGTGGCGGCACCACGATCTTGGCATTGTCTGTGTCTATGAGCTCCAGGAGCTTCAGCTTGGCTGAGGCTGTTGTCAGCCCTATTGCCGCCGGCGTCTCGTTACTGCGGCTACTGCTCACTTTTATGTTATTACTATTGGCGTGCCCTGCGTCGTCTTCGAATATATCGCTGCTTTGTGCTGCGCCATCGGACGCTGCCGGGTCCATTGTCTGTACCAGGCTCTAAGACGTGAATTGGTTGTGAATGAGACTAGAGAAGAGAAAGCAGAGGTGCCAACCGGTGAGGTGGGTCGCGTCAAGGCGCTTATTTTTTGGCTCTGCTGGAGATATCGGTGTGGTTGGAATGGAATAGGGTGGGAATAGATGCTAGAGCGCAGAGTCACGGAAAGAGTGGAGAGGGAGCAGCATGGAAATAGTACAAGGAGGTATTCTGCAACCACGCACTAGCGCATGTAGTTTTTAAGTCAAATTTACAGGCAAAAAAGTTTTTAGTAAAACAAAACGCACAATAATACTGTTTGAAGGCAAGAGGCGAATTCTTCTGTTGTTTCCGTCGGTCCAGCAGAATGCACCGTTCATTATTCTGGCCGATCGTTTTCAGCCGGCTTTTCAGAAGCCTCTCTTCAATATTTTGCGGATCCTGTTCGCGCTCGATCCCTTGGCTTTGCGCAGATCCACCAGCGCTGAGGGCGCTGCCGGCTCCTTGCGCTTCCGTAGTCGCCGCCCTGTGCCCGCAGCCACCGGGTGTTGCTGGCTGACCAGCGGCGCCAGATCTTTCCAATGCACGTCCTCAAGCCGTGCTGCCGTGGCCACAGCACTTGTCGCTGGCTCCTCTAGCACCGGCTCCTCGATCTCCTTTGCATCCTCAGCCTCCTCAGCCTCCTCAGCTCCCTGCCCCACGCAATTGCCATGCTCGTCGCGCGGAACCACCTTGCCGTGGTACGGACACGCGACGAGGTCGCGTCGACGACACAGCTTTCCATTCTTGAGCGGTGCTCGGCATTCTTTTATCACCGGTCGCCTGGAGGTATTCTGGGCGACGTCAGAATAGAGCAGCGTGCGCTTCCTGAGGTTGTCGACGGCATCACCCTTTAGCACTGCCTGCTCTCGAGCACTGCCCAGGAACCGGTGCCGGATTTCCAGCCCAGTGACATTGGCATCGACCGTGCTCTTATCCCAGTACATCAAATCCTGCCCAAACTCCACTACAGGTGCTGTCTTCAGCAGCTGCTTTTCAATCTCGGACTTTTCCGTGTTCGCGGTACTCTGTCGCGGCCGCTGTGCTGTTTGACGCGGTCTGACAAATGTGGGGTCGTTCTCGAGCTCGGGCTCGTGCTGGAGTGCGAATATTGGATTCTCTTTCGGCCCCTGCTTGGCTATTCCGCCTGGCCTTGCGCCTTTGCTGCGCTGGTAGCGCTTCACAATATCCGTTGCATCCTCGAATTCGTCCTCCGACTCCGACTCCCCGTTGCTGTTCAGGAATGACGTGTCGATGTGCAGGTCTCGGCACTTTGGCTCAAGCGCCTCAATGCGCCTCTGCAAACCACGCACAGACTCGATGAGCGGACGTATCTCGGGATCTAGCGCCGGATCAATCCGCGACAGCTTGTCCAGCCACACGTCGATCTGCGGCTTAAAGACCCTCATTGTCGGCTTGAGATGCTCGCGGATTGTGCTGTAGACAACCGAGTTGTCTGGTGATTCTTCGGCATCAACAAGTCGGTCGGGGTTGAGGTCCACAGAGATGCCGTGTCGGTTTCGCGACATGACCGCCAGGATCTGGTCCAGGTCGGAGTCGCTATCGTCATCGCTCTTACCGCTTGCTTGCGGCTCTGCATCAAGCATGACTTCAAACTCGTCATCGTCTTTCTCAGCGTTGGCCGAGTCCACTTCATTGTCAATCCCGGCAACTCCAGGCACCAGGATCGCAAAGCAGCTGTCCAGCACTGTCAGCGACTCATCGATGTCCTGCCGATGCATCTGCACGTCTGCCAGCACCGAGTCCCACGACCACTGCATGTAGCGCTCTCTATTTCTCTCCCGCCCCTCCTGCGCTCTCTCCACGGCCCGCTCTCCTTGGCGACTGGCCGACGCCTGTGAAAAGTCGATCTTCACTGAGTACTTCAGGTACCGGAATGCCAGCCCCAGTCTCCGATATGCACTGCCGAACCGCCGCACCCATCCAAGCATGCACTCGGCCGCAAGACGCTTCAGCTTCCGTGCGTATGCCTGGGGCGCCGGCAATGTATGCTGGTAGAGCCCCAGCGTGAGAGACAGGAAGTGCGGCAGCGCAGCAATCAGAAGCAGGCGGAACTGGTGTGACCGCTCAAACAGCACGCTTATCGCCTGGGTGCTGGAGATGCGTATCTGCGCGTGTTGTTTGCCAAGAGCCTTCATTAGCAACTCAAACACGAGAGGTATTGTGTTTGGCGAGCTTTTGCATGTGCGCTTCAGGACGCTGAGCTTCTCTGGGTCCAGCGCATCAAGGCCACTCTTGGTGAGCTCGTCCACTAGTTCTGGCAGGTGTTCAGTCATGATATATATTCACAGGCTGTAAAAGAGGAGAAGGTGTGAGCGGAGACGAAGAGTGCCAGAGCGTTCTAGCGAGCCAAACGCACCGCCTTGCACATTCAAAAAAATCCTGTGACCGCAGCCAAAAGGCAAAATTGTCCCATTAATTTCCCTATTAGGATTCCTGAGGGCACGGGCTATAAATTTGCGACATGGCCGGCGCTGGTGGTGGAAAACTCATACTTACCTGGCACCTCTGCGCTGTGATCAAAAAGGCAACGCGGACGGCTGCGCTGCCTGTCATTGCACGAAGACGTGCGGCGCGGCCGGGAATGGGTCCTCTGGACTCATCTCCGATGCACAATTTTTTGATGTGGAGACAGGTAGCACACGCGGTTAACGCCGTCGTGTGTCTGTCTCCGGACCCCCACCCCACACTACCGAAAACTAGAATGCGGAGCAGGCATGTTGCGGCATGCCGCCTGTATGCACAGGTGCGCTGTAGCAATACCCATGCACCTGGTCTTGGCCGCTGGCAGGTGCTCCCACGACCAGCGCGGCAGCGATATGAGGTACCTCTGTCAGCAGTAAAGCTAGAATTAGCATTCAGCGTTATAGAAATAAAAGCTAAAAAAAAAGCCCTTAGAACATGGCGGCGACACCAGCAACGGCAAAGCCCAGGGCGGCGGCAACCTTCATGCTGACCGCACCGTTGGTCGAGTTCGACTTGGTGGCCGAAGAATTGGCGGCCGACGACTTGGCAGCGCCCGAGCTCTCCTCCTTGTGCATGTCACTCATGTCCATCGACGACTCTGCGGCGCTAGTAGCAGCCGGCGAGGCAGCAGAAGCGTCGCCCGAGGCAGCAGCCGTTGGTGTGGGGTCGGAGCGCAGCATGCAGTGGATCATTCCTGGGCCCATGGTCATGCAGCCCTGGTTTGCCGGGCAGTTGGCAGTAGTCCACGCGCCGCCGTTGCAACGCAGGATGACGGAGTCGTTACCATCCAGGCACGACGCAGCGTTGCCCTGGCACGACTGGCCGTTGGCGGCAAGGGCGAGGGCAGCAATGGTGGCGAGGCTGGTAGCGCGGAGCATGGTTGTGTTGGGCGGGCTTATAAGTAGAAAGAATTGACTGGACAAACGAAGCAGCAGAGAAAAGAGTAGATAATGGCGCCCCTGTCTTGCTCCTTCCGAGCGGCCGCTGTTGACTGAGCAGATCCACTCTCTCCCTCCGCTATTGGCTAGCGGACCTTGGCCATGTTCTTCTCCCATTCCTCGACGAAACCGTCCAAAAAAACAATGTGCAGGTCGATCCGGGTTCAGAACCCAACCCCTGCTCCTCTCCCCCTGAATGAGCCACCTGTCTGTGCACCAGCGACACAAGCCCCTGCCATGCTGTGGCCGATCCAAGCCCAACTGGCCCACACCGGCTGCTGGCTTTGCCTAGTGCTTGTATCCCGCTTTTATTTATACACCGGCCCATTCACAAGTAAGATGCACCGCTGGCACGGTAACAGCAGCAATGCCAGCATGCTTGCGAAGCGGACATCGCTTTTGGCGTTTCGGGGGGGGGGCAGAGCACGGTAGCAAGCCCCAATGCACGTGGGGGCTTGCTACAACGAACATCCCCTTGATACTGATCTGGCAAGCGTCCTGGCAGAGCTGCCTCGGGGAGTTTGCCTCGGCAGCTGCTCAGCGCCTACGTAGACATATTCATTGTTCTGCTGCTTTTCTATGCCATAGCGGCCATTGTCTCCGCAATACACACCAACTCCATCACTATCAGCAGCAGCTCGCGGCTCGCTTGGCCGAGCCTCAATGTGGAAATGAGCTGGCTGATAATCTTTGAGATTCCGGAGTTCGGACAAGGGGCTGCCTAGAGCCGCGCATGCAATTACTAATTCCCATAGGTGCCACTAGCCAGCTGCTGCAGCAACGACGACTACTACCCTCATCTCTCTTTCACTTGAACTGCTGCTCCTGTTAATGGTACGGCCTTCTCCTACTACTCTACTGCACCAGCTTCGCAAAATGACGACCGACGTTTCCAAGTACCGCTTCAACCACACGATGTACCGCATCAAAGACCCGAAGGCGTCCCTGAAGTTCTACTCGGAGGCCCTGGGCATGAAGGTGCTCGATCAGCACCACAACGACGACGCAAAGTTCTCGCTCTACTTTGTCGGCTACGAAGACCCGGCGTCCGAGGGTCTGGTGCGTCTGGGCCGCCAGGGCATCCTGGAGCTCACGCACAACCATGGCACCGAGAACGACGCGGCGTTCTCGTACAACACCGGAAACGGCGATGTCGGTGGATACGGCCATATCGCAATCACGGTCGATGATCTGCATGCCGCATGCGACCGCCTGGACAAGCTGGGCGTCAAGTTCATCAAGCGCCCCGAGGACGGCCGCATGAAGCACATCGCTTTTGTCGCCGACCCCGATGGCTACCGCGTTGAGATCCTCGAGAACCCCCAGCTCAAGGCGTAAAATATTCTTCTCGATTATCCATCTGATTAAGTCGTAATCTACGATACCGGCCAAGCGCCGTCCCCGTGCATGCATGTCAGTGGTCGGTGGGAGGGCTATGTATAGTGTGTTTGAACGCCTACCGCCGCTGCTGTAGCGTTGTGTCCGTCTCGCTGCTGTCAGATTTGCAACTGCCTTTCTGGGTGGACACGGAAAAAAAATCAATTGGATTCTCCCCCCTGACTCCCCAGAATCCCCAGAAAGTTGAGACGGCTGTTCGAGAAACTGCATGGAAGGTCTGTCGACGAAGTATATAAACGGAGCTGGCGTGTGAATGTGCCTCCTCCATCGCCCCTGCTCAATCTCTTTCTCCCACTTTTTTTCGTCAGTACCGCTGCCTCCTCAGACAATAATGGTCTACGCCGTCAGAATCGCCGCCCTCACTGCCCTCGCTCTCTCTGCTACTGCCCACGACTGCCAGGGCAACGCTGTAGTCTGCCAGGACGGCACCGACTCTATCCTGCTCCGCTGCAAGAACAGCGAGTGGGAGACCGAGATGTGCGGCGCCAAACAGTACTGCATGACCATGGCTCCTGGCATGGTTCACTGCATGCTGCAGCCCGACGACTACACCCCCACTTTCTCGGCAGCTCCTTCTGCATCAACGTCTGCTGACGCTGGCCACAGCCACCCTGCCGCTTCGACAACTGATGTTTCGACAACTGATGTTTCGCCAACATCTGCTGATGCTGGCCACAGCCACCCCGCCGCTTCGACAAATGATGTTTCGCCAACATCTGCTGGTGCCGGCCACAGCCATCCCGCCGCCTCGACAACTGGTGTTTCGCCAGCGTCTGCTGATGCTAGCCATAGCCATAGCCATAGCCACCCCACTGCTTCGACAACTGGTACTGCAGTCCATACGGATGGTGGCCACTCTGCTGCCCACACGACGGGTAGGTCGGTTGCCAGTTCCTCAGCAGCTACTAACACGTCTACCAGCACGAATGGAGCACACACCAATGCCCTCAAGATTGCTACCATCGCCGCTGGCCTTGCTATTGCCAGCTTTGCTGCTCTCTTCTAGCTTTAATCGTTTATTCTTGATACTAGACCCTGGCATCCGAAATGAATCCAATTATACAGCAGCCGAATGTCGAACCATGAAGTATCTAGGTGTAGAGAGCATTTACCAATCAACTCCACTCTATAGTAGATATCGATACTATGAGAGCAGCATGGTAGCGGTTGTCATTGATCACAGGTGCTATTCAAAATTTAGGTTAAGCTTATGTGGGCCTGGCTGATGGCAAATCAAGGCTTGAGGGGACAGACTCGCGTTGTTCATTGTAAACAAATATTTTTATTTCCTCTGCGAACCAGTGTTTGATTATATCGCTAGCATCCAGCACGACATTTCTGAGGGACGGCAGCTTTATAATGGCAATTGCCACGGTGTCATGGTCCCAACATGTCTTGCATGCGAGTTTTGTTAGTTTCTGACTCATGACAGGAAGGTCAGCCAGCGATTGTCGGTTTCCTTTGTCTGCGAGCTTGGCATTATGTGAATTGCCAGCTTGGACTCCAATTACCTCAAATCTGGCAAGACCGTGAAGAACTCCCAGCAGTTGGTGAAATTGGTTGAAGTCAAGCCCGCAGTCGCCAAGGACCAAACACCAAAGACCTGGGGTATTGTAGTCGGTAAACATATGTGCAGGTGAAGAAATATAAAGCGGATGCAGTGGTAAGCATGTCTTGATCTGCTTGGTATTTGGTGCAATAGGAAAAGGAAAGCGTGCCGCAACTAGTGTTTTATATGAGGTATCACCATGCGCGGAAACATCATTTTCACCTAGGACGCAGACACAGGGCATGTTAGGGATCATGCGACCCTGGAGCAACCCAAGAAACATTCGAGTGACGGCAACCGTAAACGATGCCAGCGCACTGTAATTATCACCGAGGATAGTGCTGAGATCGGAATTCAAACGTGCAAAAATGCGAAGCGAGGTTAGCGATGGGAGCGCATGGATACTAGGCTTCCCGCTCAGCTCATGCGACAGCTGGTCACGGTGGTAAATCGTGATGGCTCTGAGCTTTGGATAGACATAGTGGCGGTCTTGGGTGCGGCCATACTCCATCATATCTAGGAAATGCGCTATTTCCCTGGAGACTCAGCTCCCCCAGTATTTTCCAGCTTCTAACGATCATTTAGTAGATACTGGCCTCGGTACTGCTGTTGATATGGACAGGCTGAAGGTCAATATAGTCATCGAATCTGGAAAATATAGCGTCCGATATGCTTTTGTGCAAAATAAAGGTTTGCGGCATCGTAGCAGCACATCTCACGATGCATTCAAATCAGCCTTCCTCGCGCTTGCTGTGTATCCCGCAAGCAGCAGTAAACGAGTGGCCCTTTGCATTGGGGAACAGTTTCTGGATACACTTGGCAACTGACTGAACCTGCTCGTAAGGATCCGAGACAATCATGTCCTCACGCTCCTTGCTGAGAAATACGAAAATGCATCTCGCAGACCTTAGGTAAAACTGGATAGAACGAGGGTCCTCGGTAAGACACATGATTCTGATGCTGTCAACAACTCTCTCGTTTACTAGCAAACCATTTGCAGAATGAGCAAACTCGGAGCAGCCATTAGAAGCTGCTATAGCAAGAGCAGGATAAAAAATATCTTGTCCTTGGGTGTAGCTATCAGACAGTTTTCCGTCGATATTCTGTAATCTGGTAAAAATAGTGAAGGACCGTGGGGTGCCATGAGCGGCAAGCGTGAGTAAGCGAAAGAAAAGAGCAGCCCAGCCACTGCTCACTCTATGACGTGCCATCTCTTCCCATACACAGTTTAGCTTCTCGCGATAGTCAAGCAGGCCGCAAATGTGACTGAGTATTTCAGCCGAGATGCTTTGTGCTACCTGGTTTGGTATATCCATTTGTGACTTCGCCTGCAAAGAGACTAGAAGGCAAAAGATACGCAGGATATATAGTTGGCTTGTCATGATCGCCATAGCAATATATCAAACAGCGGCAGCTGCTTCAGAATGTGGATTGGCATCTGGTTTTGCCATACTCCCTCAGAACCCTCATATACCAGCAGGCTTGGTCTTTAGACAGTATAGCCATATACGTTGTTCAGCTCCCAAGCGCTGCATTTATTTTAAACGACTGCTGATGGAGGGTATCCACATATAAGACCACAAGTCTAGCCAGGATATGTGCAATATTCACTGGCGTGTGCTCAGCTCTTCAAGCCCCAGGTGCTTGAGCACATTGTCCTCGAGTTCCCAATAAAATTCCTCAGGGTCATCAGGGAACTTTGTGTGTAGCGCGTCAGTCGAGCCCAGAATTGACGCAGAAAGCATTGTTGTTTCCATCAGCACAACGGCGACCACTGCATCCTGTACTAGTACCTTGTTTCGGAACATGAGGCGTGCATGCGCCTGCGACAGGCGAATCAAACTCTCCAACAGCCTGATCGTGGTTCGTGCAGCATTGAGCTGATCCCTTTGGCGCTGGGCTTGGTAGTATCTGGTCAGCACCTGCTCGCTGGCAGAAGTAGACTCAGGCTGGAATGAACTTTTGACAAAGGCAATGTACGCCTGCAGCTTTTCGAATGGCCCATGAGCTGCTAGCACGCATCTGATTTGGTGCTGCCTGTGAGGGATCATCCATATCCATCATCGAGGCAAGCCTCGAGCCCATGTCTGGCTGCAGCAATGGATTCTCGTTACGCAGCAAAAAATCTGAAACGGTCTTGTCCCATTCAGCATCGTGGGTATCAAGCAGAATCAGCACAAGATCAAAGCGACTGAGCAGCGGCGTTGATAGAGCGACATTAATCGACAGACTCTCGTTCACGTCGAACCTGCCTTTGGGGTTCATCGCTGCCAAGACCGAGCAGCGCGAGTTGAGTTTACACACAATCCCTGCCTTAGCAACCGAAATGCTCTGTTGCTCCATGGCCTCTAGAATTGTGCTTTTCTCGGCCTCCCGGATGCTGCCAAACTCGTCGATACAGCATAGTCCGCGATCTGCAAGCACCAGTGCACCAGCCTCCAGCTGCCACTCGGACCCATCTTTGACCGCTGTTACTGTAAGGCCAGCGCTGCTCGAGCCAATGCCTGTGGTCAGGACCGAACGAGGAACCAGCTGGGCGGCATACTTTAGGAATTGCGACTTTGCCGTGCCCGGATCGCCTACCAGCAGCATGTGCGCCTCACCGCGCACTCGTAGTCCAGACGGATCGGTACGCGCCACGCCGCTGATGAGCACGAGCATCACGGCTAGTTTCACGTAGTATAATCCGAATACCTGTGGGCACATACTACGAACAATGACGTCGCGCCCGCTGAATGGCATCGCTTTGTGGGCATCCCAGAAGGACCTGAATTCGTCTTTGAGGTCGTTGGTGATGGTGATCTGCGAATTCTGCTCGTTATGGACTAGCACACTGTTGGCGCGCATGATAATGGCGATGTCAGGTCGCTCGCCGACCATTGCCGGACGCCAGCGACGGATTATGACGCCGGTGATTGTGACTGAATCGCCAGACTTTGCCAGGTCGACAAGATCGTGCTCAAGGATGATTACGATTGCTCGTGGAATCGTGCCCAGCATCAGCCGGCCGACCTGCTCTTGGACCTTAATCTCCTGGTAATCTGCACAGTATTGCAGGGCGTCGCCGGTGTCAGTGGTGGCTGGAAAGAAGTTCGTCGAGTTGCAGAATTCCTCGTTGGGCACCATGCAGCGAGTTGGCTTTGGAATGTAGTTGTACTGCTCCACCTCTGCTGGCATCATGAACGATCCGCGGCATTTACCGCACACATATAGGCGCTGCGTCTCCATCATTTTGACCACGCCGGTGCGAATTACAGTGCCAGAAATGCTCACCAGCTTGCCAATGTCTTCAGATCCGGGGATTTTCATGCGCACAAGGGACGGGTGGTTGGGCAGGTGTGTTATCCGCACCTGCACATCCTCCTTGACAGTGAATTCGGGCGAAAGGTGTGATCGCTGCTTGGCGCGTGTCTGTGCTGTTGTGCAGGCCTGGCTGAACAGCGGTAGGTAGCGGGTGGGCGACTCGAGCACCATTACAGCCAGCTTATGATCGTACTCGATGAGCAGATGCATATCGACCTCGAGCGAGTGCATATGGGTCTGCTGGTCTATCAACAGGCGGCCGATGTCTTGGCTGTAGTAGTGATCCAGGAATTGGTCCATTCGGCCGAGAACAGCGGTCTCGGCAACATTCCACGTCCATGATCCAAGGGCGTGCGGTGGTGAAAAGGCGACAAGGGGAAATACAGGAGTGTGTTTGGCGTCAGTGCTATTTTGGGGGGCGGGTGACATGATGGACCCACAGACTGCGGACACATGGCCCGCAAATGCTGTGGTGTTGTGTGAGCCATCAATAGAAATGGGATTTTCTGCGCCAAAAATGTATTCTTCGCCTAACAACGTAAGGAACCACCCCATGCCAATCCCATTGGATGTGTGTAGCTTTTCATGTGTAGAGCATGCAGAAATGCATGTCGGCGGCTGGTGGAGGAACCAAGTTTTATTTTGGGGAAGGAGGACTGCAACAAGTGTAAGCGAGATAGGATATAAGCCCTGCTTCTGATGAGCTCCACGCCAGTATATTGCGAGCACCCCTGCTGGCGCAAGCGGACCGAGATATTGCCCAAATCCATGAGCCTGCAGAGCAGTGCGCATTATTTTTTGAAGAATGGCAGCCCGGCGGGACGGCACGATACCTTCTTCATCGTCGAGGGATGGGGCGGCAATCTGAAATCAAAACAATACGCTCCTTGTCGCAAACTTTGTTGTGCAAATCAAGGCTGAGGGCCTGCCGGTGGATAAAAATACAGCGAGCCGTCAGCATGAGTGTGCGGTGCTGGGTGGCCCTGGAAGTGAGTGTCAGTGCGTTTGGCAAGAGTCGCCGAGCAATAATCATCCTCTCTGCCCATCTCTACCCCGACCTTCCCACCAGGCAATGTCGATCGCTGTATTATTATCTGGCCAACCAGACCGCCAAGCAGCGAGCTCGGATGCTCCCAGCCTGCCTCGGTGTGGCTGAGCCGATGGTATTAACAATCAGCATCGGTAATTTTCCCTAAACTGACAGACTGCGTGTACACATCGCTGCGCTTTCACACCGTCCCTTCCATGATGTGGGCTGATGATATTAATAGGTGCCTGAGGTTCTTGGCGCGCACTGCCTTTATGGCTGCTCCTGCTGGTTCTCTTATAGTGCCAATAATGGCTGCTTGGGTAGACTGGAAATGCTGGCATGTTCGGAGTCACCCGTTGGGCCGCGGCATGTGGTCACCACACACATCCGGGGCATGCCGGCAGCCATGTCGCCGGCATTCCTTGTCGGATGATGCCGACCTCCACCTGGGCTGACAACAGGGCGGCCTATTTTTTATCCCTTGTTTGCTATCGTGATGAGTTCTGGGAAACCCGTCCCTGAACCCGCAGCTCAACTCCGCCGCTGATTTATTTCCATGGTAAGGCCACTGCACAGGGCCATTCGGCAACAAGGCTCCATCAGCCATGGAAAAGACACAGGGAGGTGTATATCGATTGTCGTGGCCATTCAGCGCATATACACCGCAGCTGCCTTGCCCTCTGTTGCACCAGAGGCTGCTGTTCCTGGGTCCGGGTTGAATTATACTGTTTCGACCAGGGGGGGGTGGCGGCCCCAGAATTATGCGGGTAATTAACCCGTGGCCCCGCCATTTGATTTTTTCTTTCTGTGAGCCTTGGTGAGGTGCCAAGGGTGGCAACTTATAAAAACTACACCAGGTCGCCATCGCCATTGCCAATGGCGCTGGGAATATGTAGGCACTCCATATCTTTTCCCTTTTCAACCCAGCTAGTCATATGTAGCATCCCTATCACTCCTGTCCACCGTGCGGCCATTCTTTTTAAAGCACCTCTCCTGGCTCCCTGTTTCCGCCCAGCACTCGAATGCGGCCGCTGATATCCGAGTTGTAAAAACACCACCACTTTTCTTTTCCATTTTTCCTTTTCTCTTACTTCGCCACCAGGCTATTCAGAATCTGTCCCGGACAAAAAGGCATTCCGCCAGAATCTAGCACCCATCAGCTCTCTTTCCTCAGCTTCTAGCTCCTTGTAACCGTTCACAGCTGCTGCCTCATTCCTCTATTTGCCTTTTTTATATTCTGTCCATTATAGCTCGTATTTACTATTTCATTTTTGCGCACGATCTTCTCACCCGGCCCCTGTTTTCTGTCACCTACCAGCAAAAATAAAATAAAGCAGCCATGGTGAGATACGCACTTGACCAGCCCACCGTGCCCCAAGTACGTTTGTCCCTCCCAGCGACGAGCCGCTGATGCCCAATGTGCTGAGCTCCGAGAGAATCCACCCAGCGACACCAGCAATCTCAGGGCGAGCCAAAAGCAATTCTATAGCCCCAGCTGGATGTCGCCGCCGCGGACGCATGGCAAGACCAAGATGCCGGGCTGGCAGTCTGTGCCTGCCAAGGAATCCCGCCCCCAGCGCATTCGTGCTACTGCGCGCCCGCTGTCGGCTCCCAAAGCCACCACATGCGGCATTGGGCGAGACGGTGGGCGGATTAGCAAGCGCAAGCGCAGAACGCCCACGAGGTCACTGTCTGCGGCTTCTGGCAACAATAGGCAAGCAAGGGGCTGCGAGACACTGCGGGTATCTTACCTTGATGACTACCAGCGTGACCCCATGGGGTACTCGCGCGCCCTGATGGATACAGAGCGTTTCAGGGACAGCTCCAAGCAGGTTCCAATGCCGGCGGGGCGCCATGCGGGGCGCCATTCTCTTCTGTCTCGCAATGCACCGTCGTCGTCGTCGTCATCTCATCTCATGTACCCTCAATGGGTACCACTAGAAATGCCATGGCCGACTCTCCGCGCAGCGGACACAACACGAGAAGCACCTCGTTCCACTCGCTAGACCACGGGTCGCTTGCAATTCGGCAGTCGTCCATCCCCCAGCTCCCAGCTAT